CCCCCCCCCCCCCCCCCCCCCCCACCCCATTACAGACACATAGCAACGGAGAAAGAGAACATTACAGACATACCCCCCCATTACAGACACCCTCCCCCCCCATTACAGACACATAGCAACGGAGAAAGAGAACATTACAGACACCCCCCATTACAGACGTCAACAACCGCGCAAAAAAGGCTTCAGATTCTATACAGTATTCTAATGCATTCATAATTATTTGAAAAAATAGTATGTTTTAGTTTACAAATAATGCAGTAGAATAGCAAATTGAAAGGATATACGTGAGTTCCACATTTCAGCTCCAAAGGAGCTGCGCTGACAAGCTTTTTTCTGTATATTATAAACTTCTCCACGTGTGCTATCTATACATATCCAAGAAAACTCCTTTTGATCATATTTTTGATGTTTTAGATCAAAAATACCATTCGCAGTGATTTTTTAGTTGGTAATTACTGCTTCTTCTAACATGAGTAAAAATATAAGTAAACATAAACTAATCCTACTGAAAGGTAGTACTATAAATAAATAGTACGACATAGACCATATGATATCATTGTTGAGTGATATTTCATCAATAATGATCGAGTGAGAATTACATCCTGATCCATAATGATTCCTCATTTTTTTTTACATCGTTTTATTTAATGATAATTTTGTTCAAATAGTCTCATTTATGAATATGATCATAAGAAAGAAAATATTATTTGATTTGATTTACTCAGAAATTGAGTTTAGTGTATAATTAATAAATGAGTCTTGTTTTTTAATAACAATAATTATGTAGAATATTTCTGTATCATTGTTGGTCATGTGATCGATTTTGCTTGTATTTAATTAATTGTTGATAAGATTCATTTCATCTCGAAACGCAGCAAATAAAGATAATTTACCAGCGTCTACTAATCCAACAACTGCGATTAATATACCTTGTTCGATAGTAAGATCAGACAATGATAAAGAAAGTATTTCTTTACATCACGAAAAACATGTATGTGATTGTCTTATTCTTTTTATATAGATACATAAACGAATCCATTCTATCTAATGCAACTTTAGTTGCATTTGATTGTTCAATGTCTACTGAAGTACAATGTGTAACATTCAAATACAACAAGAAAAAAAATTGAAACAATCGTAAAGATATTATTCATATTCAATGAATAAACTAAATTCTTGCTAATTCATGTTCTCATATTTCAACTATATGATAATCTTATAGTTTTTCTAACGGATTGATTGTAACACAATAACATCCATATGAATACAAATACGATTGAACACAAGTTAATACAAAATATAAAGCACAACCACATAACACTGCTATAGGTTGCATTATTCAAATAGGTAATCCAAATATGATGATAACAAAGATTTGTTGAACTAGATAACCTAAACATGAACACAAATTTTCAAGCTTAGATGCATCGTTAGTAATTTCTTTCAATGATATCAAGTTTAAAAATAATGCATGTACGCAAATTATCACGGTAAGTCATTTAAAAATCTACACACCAACACGAAACAAAGTCTGTCTGTGCATGAATGTCAAGCTGATTTGACTACAAATGGATGATTAAGCGAATCACGTTACTCCTAATGACTAATCATAAGAAGATAACCTGCCTAACAAAACTAAATCATCTTCAACATGAAGAACCAGATTAAACCACCATCAAGATAGTACATATAAAAGTCGAATCCAAGATCTTTCTGTCTAACCCTCCCCCTAGTATAAAAGATCCCGGGTCTTCTATTATGTTTAAACGGAAAAATTTTTAGAGGGGTCTTGTATTATGATTCTCGTGTTTTGCGAAACTCACGAGCATTTTCCAAGAATTCGGTAAATGCAAGTTTAAGTTCGGGATCTACGGCTTCTCAGCTCGTATCATAGTAACCAGGGTGTGGGTGTGGGCGTGGGTGGGTGAAGTGAAGATCCAAACACACACCCACACACCCACACCCCACACTGACATCCACACCTACACCCACACCTGCACCCACACCCACACCAAAATACACCCACAGCCACCCCACACCCACACACCCACACCAACACACACCCACACCCACACCCACACCCACACCCACACCAATACACACCCACACCCACACCCACACCCACACCCACACCAAAATACACCCACAGCCACCCCACACCCACACACCCACACCAACACACACCCACACCCACACCCACACCCACACCCACACCAATACACACCCACACCCACACCCACACCCACACACCCACACATCAGCACACCCACACCCACACACCCACACCCACACCCACACACCCACACCCACAACCACACACCCACACCCACACCCTCTAGGAATCCTTCAAGTCATTGGCACACCCTCAAAACTCGATAGGACGCTGGTAGAGTTTTGCGATTCTCTCGGAATTCAAGCCTTTCTCAAGTTCAGTCGCTTGGAATCTGATGCAATCCACCATAGCCTACAATATTTTGAAGACTGCACTGTGTTTCCATTCATGGAATGATTGAAATTGTTGACACATCCGGAAAAAGCTGTAAGAGGCTGAAAGGGTTTTGGGGTTCTCTTAGAACCCAAGCCTTTGCCATGTTCGATTGTTTAAAATCCTTGGAATCTAATAGATTCCAGGATGGCCTTCATCATTCAGGAAAGCGCCGAGCCTTTCAAGCCTGGAAATCCTTGGAATCCTGTGAGAATACTCAAAAGCATTTGGATTCTGAGAAGGGCGATCTCGTTTTCTAGGAATCCACGGTTTCCCAACTCGAATCGCCTGGAATCCTTAGAATCTGATAGAATTCGCCATAGTCTTCATTATTCTGAAGACCACACTGCATTTCAAGTCTTGGAATCCTTGCTACATCCGCAAAAGCATATGGGCTCCTAGAAGGATGTTCAAGTTTTCTAGGAATCCAAGGCTTCCCCAACTCAAATCGTCTGGAATCCTTGGAATCTAATAGAATTCGTCGTTACCTTCATTTTTCTGCAGACCACACTGCGTTGCAACTCTTGGAATCCTTGGAATCCGTGGTACATCCTCAAAAGCATACGGGGTCCTAGTAGAGTGCTGTTGTTTTCTAGGAATCCAAGGCTTCCCCGAGTCGAATCGTTTGGAATCCTTCGAATCTAATAGAATTCGCCATGGTCTTCATTACTCTGAAGACCACACTGCGTTTCAAGTATTGGAATGCTTGGAGTGCTTTGTAAATACTCAAAAACATATAGATTCTTACAGGGGCCGTCCGATTTTCTAGGAAGCCAAGCCTTCTCTAAGTCGAATCGTTTGGAATCCTTGAAATCTGATAGAATTCGTCACGGTCTTTATGATTCTGAAAACCACACTGCGTTTCAAGTCTTGGAATCCCTGGAACTCTTGGTAGATCATCAAAAGCATATACACTCCTAAAAGGGTGATCTCTTTTTTAAGGAATCCAAGGCTTCGCCAAGTCGAATCGCTTGGAATCCTCGGAATCTGATAGAGTCCACCACGCTGTTTATTATTCTGAAGACCACACTACGCTTCAAATCCTGGAATCCTTGGAATGCTTGGTTCATCCTAAAAAGCATATAGGCTCCAGGAATGGTACTCTGGTTTTCTAGTAATCCAAGGCTACCCGAAGTTGAGTCTTTTGGAATCCTTGGAATATGATAGAATTCGCATTGGCTTCATGGTTCTTGAAGACCACCCTTCGTTTCAGGTCTTGGAATCCTTGGTACATCCTCGAAAGCATATAGACTCATGGAAGAGTGATCTAGTTTTCTAGGAATCCAAGGCTTCTTCTAGTCGAATCGCTTGGAATCTGGTAGAATTCGCCATTGTCTTCATCATTCTGAAGACCACACTGCGTTTCAAATCTTGGAATCATTGGAAGCCTTGGTTTAGCCTCAAAAGTATATACGCTCCAAGAAGGGTAGTCTGGTTTTCTAGGAATCCGAGGCTTCCTCTAGTTGAAGCGTTTGGAATCCTTGGAGTTTGGTAGAATTCGTCATGGCCTTCATTACTGTGAAGTCCACACTGCGTTTGAAGTCTTGGAATTCTTGGAATGCTAGAAAAACTTTCAAGGTTTCCTTTTTGAGGGAAGTCAGCCAAGTCGTCGTCTTGGTTTTTTTCTATTTTATGTGTTTCCAAGGTTTCCGCAGTAAATATATATGTGTAGGTTAATTTTATTTTTGTTGGATGATATTTCTTAGATCTTAGTGAAAGGATTCCGATTGATTACAATTAAGCGGTATGATTAATTAATTAATTAATTAGTTAATTGAAAGTCTTTCAGTTAAGTCTTTATGATGAAGATTGACCTTATTTATTTATTCATTTGAATCGATGTTGAATTTTTGTACTCGATGATTTCCACGATCGACGACATAGAGATTGCCGTCTCGATCGAATGACAAACCTAAGGGCTCTTTGAGTTGGTTCGATTGATCTCCTCTACCGTTTCCACCAACAATGACACTTCCTTGTGTGGCTTCTTTGGGCCAGCGCATGATTCGATCATTCCCTTGATCAGCCACATAGACAGTGCCCAATTGATCGACAGCGACTCCTCTAGGATCTGACAATTGTGTAAGACCATTTCCTTTTCTTTGACTACCAGCCACGACAATGCCTCGTTTTGCATCTTCCATCCATTTCATCACACGACTATTTCCCCAGATAGACACATATACTGAATGATCTTGATCGGCGAATACGTATGCGGGAGAAGGGAGTTGATTGAGACTATTTCCATATCCATTGCCACCTGCAACCACTATTCCTTGAGATTCTCCTCTTCGATATCGTCTTACTTCCATTTCTACAGTATTAACGATATAGAGAGATCCATTCTCATCCATTGTCAAGCCCCAACAATCGATGTTGGAGATGATTGTTTCTCCACTTGTTCCATTTTGACGAGGCCATCGAACCACTCTGTCATTCGAAGAATCGGAGATGATGAGACTATCTCTCTCTTTATCGACAATCACATCTCTTGGGTAAGACAATTGATGATCTCCACTTCCTTGTCCATTTCCACCTGCAACCACTTGGCCACTCTTCGCACCCCATTTCCATTCCATAATACGGTGATTCGACGAATCAGCAACATAGATTGTTTGATCCTCATCAACATACAAACCCAATGGGTCTGATAGTTGATTGGTTCCATTGCCTTCTCGATTTCCTCCAGCTACAGTGATACCATTCTGTTGCCATCGAGCATTTGGATGAATATCAATGGAACTTCCACGTAATGGATGGACTGAAATAGAGAGAAAGGAGAGGATAAAATGATAAAAATCTTTTTAGTAATCAAATTCTTAACTTTATCAATAACAATTGTTTTGTTATTTTTTGTGAATATTTTATTCAATTCAAAGTTATTCATTGAAACCAAAAAAATAGTTTAACAAGAAAGAGATGCAAGATTTTGCACCATTTGACGACTACTTAATTGATAAAAATCAAGGATATGTCAGCTGTTTTGATGAAATACATGATTATAATAGATATTTTCAGGTGTATCAAGTGTTGGTGATTAGTTATGAGTTAAATTTTGGATTATTACATGAGTTTACAATAAAATTCTTGTATATTTTTTAATATGTTACAACTGAGTAGTAGTAGTATCCAAAGATGAGAATAGAATGATCATACTCTTTTATTGGAAGGGAGAATACCAGGAATATTTAATCTCGATGTTTGTAAATCACTGAAATTATAGCTAATCTTCTTATTGGACAAATCTTAGTTCATTCGTTTGATTTTTGGATTTCCGATAATTACCTATTACATTGCATCGATGTCAATACAAAGATTTTCGAATCTGGCTGGAGAATATGATGAAATATTTTTTTGAATAACATAAGTCAACAATTGAATATGATGAAACATCATATTTTAACGATTCACATATCTATCTTACTCTGAATTTTCTTCTCTTCTTATATGAACAAAATTCAAAAAACAATATGACATATACACTACATGCTCATCATTTAGAGTATCTAAAAGCTTATTGCATTAAAACTTTATTTAAATGTTTTTATTACATACGTATGTTCTTTTCTAAAATGACGGAAATAGATAACTTCTATTAATACGTATAGTTTGATTTCTTTTCCTCGCTAGATATTTTTTTCCCAAGGTAAGAATATTGCAATCTTGTAATTCAGCTTTCCTCGTTTTTCTAGGATTCTCGCGAATTCCTTAGAATATCATTAAATTTCCTTGGATTCCATAGCTTTTCCTAAGGATTCTCAGTAAGCGTCGAAGAAGCTATGAAGAGTAATCATCTGTGTCACAACAGCTTTTCATGTGGTATCTCATTCTTCTTCTTTTTTTTTTGGTTCATAACCATCGATATATGTATGTACATATCGATGACTAACCAATTGTATTTGGTTGAATTTTGATCCTTAGGGTTGTCTTATCCCCGTCCCAAATACAGCAACTGAATCTGTTTCTTCGTTAATCTGTCAATAAATTCAGATGAATTTATTCTAATAGAGCTCTAAATACATAGTGGCATCAATGAGTTTGTTTATTAATGACTAAAATTTGACATGCTTTGATACTAATAATCATCTAATTAGGGTAATAGTATTCAAAAATGTTCGAATCGTTGTTTTTTGTTCAATTTTACTTGCTTCAATAACTCATGATAATCTCTCAGTTGATGGACGCTAAGGTTCCTCAGTCAATAACCGTGAAGCTGATCATTCCTATGAATATTTATTGAAATTGTTAAGTTTTAGTTTGTAATATAGGTATGGCTATATGTGTGCGCGGATGCAGACAAGAACCAAGTCTACACTTACATCCACTTCTTCTTTGTTTTTCAATATTCACCGTACGCTCTTTATTTGCAAATGATAAAATTCTTATTTAAGAACTTAGATTCAAAATTTTTTTTTTCTTTTTACTTGTTTTTATATACATAAAGTTATATTCAAGTAGAAGTGATATTGTCATCAATTCTTCTTTTACTATTGAAACTTTTTAAAAACTCGTTGTATTTAAGGATTTCTTCTGTGGTTTTGATACTTATGCGCTACATTCTATTGTGTTGTATGTTTACTAATCATAACCTAAAATACATACTAAAAGAGATAAATTTGTCTAATCATGATTGAAAACATAAGCTTCTGACTGAGATATCTATGAAAAATGCTATTATAGATGTCCTATTAACTGTTTACGTATAATAAAATGTTGTTCTGTAATAGTAATAAATCTAAGGACTCCAAACTTCAAAATTATATAGGACTCCCTGAAATTCCATTGGATTTCCTAGAATTTCAGGATTATGCTATTCACCCCTTGATTTTTCTTTCCTCCTACAGTAACGATCTTTATCGTCTAATCCAAAGATCAGACACTAGTTCTTGAAAATATGGAAAGCAATTAATTGAATAAGAACATGTTCAGAGAAAAGAAAAACATATTCACACTTGTCCCACAAAATAGCAGAATGCACTGCAATCCGTTCTCAGTAAAGAGAAATCTATTTCTTCTAAAGAAGAACGCATATCTATAGTTTCAGAACACATTCATACAGTTTGGCAGATATACGTTCATATGTCAATAGAATTCATTCTACATGAATGATATTTGAACGTATCCAACGAGGAAACGCTGTTCAATTTAAAAAAAAAGTATTTTTTTTTATTCATGAAATGTATGTGTTAGATCTTTCTGAACCGAAAAAGGACACTTCTTCAATTATAATTATAATAGAAGCATGAAAACCATAATCACTGTACCTAGATCTCTGCTGAAATAACTAATGGGAGACAATTGTTGATGTTTACTTTTCTTATGTCGTCTATTTCGCCGCCAAATGACACTTACACAAGTCACGAAGGTCTTGGCCGAACAAGTGTATATTCATCGCTAGAGAAATTTCTGAAAAAGCAAGTATAGACGACGTAGTTGTTCATCGTTTCTTATGCTTTCCTCGACGTCTAGTCTGATGACCGCGATGATTTTCTAAAATTAGGACTCTGTCTAAAACATAAAGGTAATGCTATGTTACGCTTTGCGTTTTGGTCAGAACTATCGTTCTAGACAATCAAACTTCCTAATTTGTTACTAACTTGCATAGTATAGTCATAAACAAAGACGAAAGATAAATAAGATACATCTGCTGAATGCTGATAGACACGGGATTTTGAATGGCAAAATTAATCATGAGATTATCAATGCAATGATCTTGTACATAAGACAATGGATGATCGAACTAAATATATCTTGATGACCATGTGAAAGTTACGCATCAATGATCGTCCACATAATAATTTGAGCAAGAGTGTCAATTCATATTTATGCTCAATTTAATATATGTATAAATTAAAAATTATCAAAAAATTAAATTTAAATTATCAATAATTTAATTAACTTAAAATATGAATTATTCACATTTCGTAAGTAAAAATAGGAGATATATACTACAATAGGTTCCAAAAACAGTAAAACAATTTGATTCAATTTTAATGAATATATTACGAAATTCAAATAATTCAAATTTAAAACTTATGAAATAATCAATAATTTAAACTTAAAATAAATTAGCTATTGATCATATAAATTTTTTTTTGAATTTACGTTACAAACAAAAATAGCTTAAATTTCTGATAATATAATGTATACATAAATTAAATTGAAACTTAATATAAATTGACACTCCTATACCTTAGGAACGCATTCCCGCTGATCTAGAACAGGTCTACAACGAAAGTGTTTCTAGTAGTCAAAATGCGTTTTTTTCATTTCGAAAAAAAAAACGCGTTTTGTCGAGAGAAAGAAGTTTCCAAAAGAAAACAAAAACCGTGTTCAGGACGCGTTCCATTATTTGAGAAACTCGTGCTTCATAATTTTTTTTGAACACTGTTTTTCATGGGTAGCATAGAATGAAAAACAACAGCTGCTAGGTTTCAGACGCATCACATGTTTAATGGTCCAACTACTCTTGATATTGAATGTTCACAGTTATATGTTCGCAATATAGAAATGAGTTACTTATTAGTATTTCCTTGGCGTCATTTTATCTGTATCTTGATAAATAACAAATAAAGACTTAGTCAATTTCTCTGGTCTATGTGCCAAGAAGCACGTCATCTCCTTTGATTATGCCAGTCGATATCACGTTATACGATGCCAATAAGCACACTATCTCAACGTGAAGAGTTGAATAGGGTTTATATAGGACGTCGGATGTCCCTCCGTATAACGCCCCTTGTTCTCTCCCGACCATCATGTAATCTGTTCTCTATTCTCTTTCCCCTTCCTTCTCTCTTCCACTTTGTTCATTTTCTCATATTCGTCTCTTCACTTTATTTCTCTCTCTCTCTCCATTTCTCTCTATATATATAGATGTGTCTGAGAGAAATAGCGAGCAGTTGGTGAAGCAGACAGTTAGAGGCAGGCAGTGAGAGTGTACGAGTGAATTGTTCGTAGAGTAGAACGTAGCTTAGACGCAATCGAGTCGACTCGAAGACGGAATACAGTCAACTCGTGCGATAGATACACTGACGTCGTGGATGTACGAATAAGTGTAGTGTGTGTTTTATCATTATTGTTATTATTATTATTATTAAATAAATCATAACGTGTCGGTGCTGCCCGAACGTTTGGCGCTACATCTTATCGTCCTCACAGCATCCTCTTTATTAATATAATATTCCGTTATAGTCTAGTGAAGCTTTCAAATAATAAGATAGCTTCTACTTATGAGATAAAGATGCACCAGTTCTAGTCGTGACCAGTCAACTCGGTACTCAGATAGACTGATGCATCCCTTTCTTAGGAAAATCTATGATACAGAGGTGACATACATTTATTTTGGCTTATAAGACAAGGTTCTGATAGTCAGATGAATCATAGCAAACTGACTATTGATAAGATTTTATTGTTAGCTAACAACCTTTTATTCAAAGTATTGCATCCTGTATCCTAAGATGGAAAATCAAATTATATCTTTATTCTTCTAGAAGTATATTTCAGTACACTATAGGATCCAACGAGTCCAACAAGTTCCATATTGAAATACGCGGCTGAATCCATGGATTTTTTTTTTCTACTCCTAAATGTAATTTAAACAAGATTTAATTTATTTTGTAGCTGTTTCTTCAATAACTACATCTACTGTAGATTTTCAAATTTTCACAAACCATTTTTATCATATGTCTTTTACAGTTACTACCAATGCTGCTTTTGGAAGAATGAAACAAAATGAGAAACACTGTGTTTCAAAAGGCTATAGAACTCAAGATTTTTTAGAGATTTCAAAGAGATGTAACGGCTTCATAAAATATTATCAAACTTCGCAGGATACACTACAATCAATAATCATTCAAACCAACATAGCTAACAATTTCTCTTGTTCAGACTACTGTCATCAGTATCCTAAACACTAGAGTATGTTAAAACAGCATGAGAGTTTCGTAGATATATTTCCCGTACTTCATGAGTTCATGGAAAAAACCTATTAATCCATGCCTGTGGAATTAATTTTGCGAAACGCAATAAAGAGTCAGTGGTCCTAATGTTGCAGCAAAAAAACCTTGAATTAGTAGTAATAGATTTATGAGTCGCGGCTAATAATCATCATCGTGTAGAGCTTATCATTATTTTTCCGGATGTAGTGAATATTTCTATATTGATCCAAGTGTATTTGATCGTATAATGAGCAGTCTCTGTTTCGCATGAGCCATCATAACACAAGAAGTATCGAATTTTATTCAATTTTCCAGCTGTTCCAAATGATGCCGTTGATAGCATCTTTTTCTTTTAATGTCCCATTCTCATGTCCAACGTAATGTTCTTCAGAGTAGAACTAATTAGTTGTTTTGAATAAGGTTATATAAAAGGTAACATTCATCTATACTCAGAATAGTATGAATATGCGTACTTACATGAGACGAATCAAATGTTTTATTTTTTCAATCATATATAAATCAAATACACTTGAATCGATATAGAAATATTCACTATATCCAGAAAAATAATGATCAGCTCTACACGATGATTATTAGTCGCGACTCATAAATCAAGTACTACTAATCAAGGTTTTTACGGCATAATAAGGCCTACTGATTCTAGCTTTTATTGTTTTATCACGAAAAGATTATATTATTCGATGTGTTTTGCAGGGGTGCAGAATCTACCCGTGTGTGCCGACGGTCGTCGGGGAAAATTTTTCAAATTCTTTTACAGTTGGGGAAATTTTTGAAGGTTTAATAGTGACATTTTGGAAAATTTTTTGGTATTTTTCCCTGTAGGGAAATTTTCGAAATGAGTCTTGGTTTACCTGTATATATCAGGGAAGCCATATAATGGTCGCTTTTTTCTTCTCATTCAACTTTCGAAAGAGCCATTTTCTATTTTCATAAAATAATTAATATAAGTGTTATTAAAAGGAAAATGGCTGTTATACGATAATCTAATTATGCATGTAAAACAATCGATCAATGCTCTTCACAAATTAGTTAACAGTGTCACATTTTCATAAAATTGTTTATCACTCGATCATTAGTATTCGTTGATTGCTTTTCTTTCTTTGTCTGTGTTCTCAAAAATCAGTTTGCGTACGATTTGAACCTTCTTCATTCAAAAAAAAGTTATTCGAATAACAATGTACCCAAGTAAACAACAGGTGTCATGCTTTTATTGTGAATAGGTCGGGCGAAAAGATAAAGCAAAAAACCATTGGAAAAAATATCATCCTGAAGAAAGATTTAAGTTGAAGATTTCAAAAAACAACTTGACTAAATATCATTTTCGAAAAGAAGTAACGGAAGAATCCACAACAATTCCCAATGATGATGAAAATACCGATATATCTGAAGAGCAACAACAAGCAAATTTTACTTTATTGCCTCCATCTCTACCAACCTCAACATCAACAGTATCAACAATGAATAGTGCCACACTGCTGTCAACAACAAATCTATTGCATACACCATCAGTTCCAAATGCAACATCAGGTATAAATACATCGTCAGGTTCCACAGAACATTTAAAATTGGTGAATTCTATGCAAGATCAATTGACATTCATGGCACAACAACTTACGAAAATTAGTAATTCAATTGAAAATATTCAATTAGAAAAAAATAACAAAGCATCATCATCACCTTCACAACAAGATGAGATCGAACAACTATTTGAGAGCATTACATGTTCAGATGATTCCTTTAATTTAAAATGTTTAGAAATAAATTATCAATTAGATATCATCATATGTATTCCTTGCTGCACATAGAAGACACAACTCTAGGTGAACATTTTTTGTCATGCTCTTGACCTGCGCAGACCTCAAGTTTTGCCCATAGCGCATGACTTTCTTGCTCAAGACAAGCGCTTGAGTGTTTGTATGAGTCACAAGAAACTCATGCACTCAACTCAAGAAAATATAACTATGAATTTTTATTAAAAATTGAGTTATTTTTGAACGTAAAATGAAAAAAAAGGTAAAAAAGTTCCTAGATAATAGGCACGCTTGGATCAGAATTCAAACACATGAGCAAGAATATCAAGCGATAGGACAAGAAGTTCAAGAGATTGAGCTCGATAAAAGGTCTCAAGTCTTGCCTCAAGATTTGTCCATAGCGCATGACTTTCTTGATCAAGATTCTCCAGTATCTCATGCGCAGGCCAAAAGAAATTCGACTAGGGTGGAGTTATTTTGAACGTAAACTTGAAAAAAAACTAAAAAATCTCCTTAATAACAGAAACGCTTGGGTAAGAATTCAAGCGCATAGGCAAGAATATCAAGCAATAGAACAAGAAGTTCAAGAACTTGAGCTCACCGACATGGTCTCAAATATTGCTTCAAGATTTGTCCATAGCGCATAACTTTCTTGGTCAAGATTCTCAAGTATCTCCTGCGCAGACCAAAAGAAGTTCGTCTAGGGAAGCACCAAAATATTTAATAAGTTCAATTAATTCTTCATTTGGTATGCTTCAACACATTGAACAAAAAATAGGTGAACCTCAATCAGAAAAATGTGCAATGTATTAAATATTAGTGGCTTTCTTGAATAAGTATTTTTCATCCAGAAAAGTCGGTATTTAATTGACTCTCATACCTGGGGAAATTTTTCGAAAAAATTTTACCGTCGGGGGAAATTTTTAATTTTACCGGCAGATTCTGCACCCCTGGTGTTTTGGAATAAATTTCTTCCGCTACTGATATGTGCTCCATAATCATATACAAACAAGATCTCGCACAAGCTGGAACGGCCGTTGTAAATTTCTACATGGTATATTTAAAAAACTGTTTGAATCATGTTTCACAATGTAATGGAATATGTCTTCGTCAGTCTTCTATCGTCGCTTTTTAATTATATGAAACTATGATTTCTGTCTTTGTTGAATTAAGATAAGTAGAATAAGAATACAGCAAGGAGGAAACTTTGTACTGAAAGAGTAACTTATGGGTAGCTGAGAAAAAAATAAATAGAAAATGAGTGTTTAACATCTTAACTAAGAAATTTTTAAAGAATGTCTTTTGCGAATTCAAATTAGATTCCAAGTATCTTAAAGATTTTAGAAGATTGCAATAATTGTAGTTATTTATTGTCAGCTACTGTCTGATGATTGAAGGAAAGGATGCTTGGTAATGAGAAAAGGAAAATTTTTCTTTTCTTAAAAAGAGTGACTATAATTCCTTTCCATCGTAGTGTTGATTATCTGATATTTTCGATAGTTAGATCATCACGTTCTCAACATAGTTTATGTGACTTGTTACTCAGTAATCAACAGACTTTCCTTTACTATTATTTCGTAGCATAGCTCATTCATAACGTTCACTGAACATTCTGGGTTATGGAGGCGACTGCATTCTAGCAAAATAATATGATTTAAATTGTGACATCTAGCACGATTATTTATACAGTTGACATAGGTGAGGAAATCTCAAAAGACTTGGTGCAGTGATGCTCATATTGATTCATATAAATCTAAATCATACTAAAATTTTAAATTCAAAATATAATACATCGTTAGGTTTGAACTGAGAAACTAGCCCCGAAGATGAACTTGTGGACTTTTCATTTTTAATTGGGAAACGTAACAGGCTTATTCCAATTGATGTTAATTTGCGTTTTACTGTCCTCTCATGGACAAAGTAAAACGAAACAGAAGAGCTTTTCTATGTCACTAGTATTGATGCAAATTTTATGAGAAAATTTTTCTAGACTTAGTGATGACTGGTCTACTTTTTTCTTGTGAAAGAATAAATATCATTCGACCTTCATAATTTAAGGAAAAATTGGAAGTATCAGATGAATCTTCCAGAAAAAAAAGCAGACAACTAGAAAACAAAAAGAATAGAAATTCGGACATCGATGAGGATTCCGAATATTCGAGCAAAGCTCAGGCAATCCAGTACATGTGAAATCTGTTTTGTTTCTCTCTAAAATCCAATGAGTTGAACTTTTCATTAAAGTTTCCAAAGTGTGACAAAGCACAAGAAAAAAGACTGCTTCGAAGCAATCGGCTTCAAAATTTCTCCCTTGGAGTTATATCATAGGTCAATATAGACGAGTTATGTTGATCTATAACCCTGCTTATTCAATCTACCATCCTTTCAGAAGTAACAATAACTACTGTTATAAAAGTATGGGACGGTTTGATTTATTATCCAATTTCTTATACCTATGCAAAAAACTGTCAAAAAATCGGATTAAAACTGATTTTTCGACAAATAATTTAAATAATTGATTAGAAATGTAGTCGATTTCAGTAGGTTCCAAGAATACTCTAAGGTATGAAATAAAGTTCTGCGCACTATTGTAACGGATATATTTCTGCAGGCGCTTAAATAGTTGTTGCAACAAGTAAATAATCATTTTAAAGAGTATTTCATGCTCTTTCTAAATATATGTGTTCAAACTTTTTTCTTGACTTGCAATTGGTTCATTTGCAGAAAATCTTTAAATGAATATAAAATGACGTCTGTACAACATGTTTCGTACCTCCCATTTTTGTATTATGATTAAAGCTGCCTTAATACAGACTATCAGAAAATCTTTTTATACACCAGTTTATAGACAGCGAAATTTGCTCTATAGAATGTACAATTTGATACTCTTGTTACATACTGCTAGAAAGGATCGAAATTTATTGCATTTTAAATACCAAAATTCGAATGAGAGGAAAAAGTCTACTTTGCTAAGTGCAAACATTTTTGATTTATTCAGGTGTTTAGTCACACTAGACCAATCGTATGTCAGAGAAAAATCCTGAAAATACATTTAGCAAGAGCATCTCATGCTCTTTCTGACTAGTTAACTTTGTTTCTCTCCAGTGATTTGGATGTGGCCGAGAATTGAACAAACATGCTGTACAAAGACTTTTGCAATAAGGGTAAAAAATGTGGTTGAAAAGCGTTAATGATATTCTCACATTTATATCTCTCGTATTTCTTGAGCTGATATCTTTTGTTTTACACAATACAATGTACATTCAAATACCCTTTCAGAGTGTGGGTGTGGATTGTGAGTATCGCTTTCTGCTTCACTCACACTCACATCCACACACACCCTCTTGAAGTTATTTTTGCTATGCTAAAACCCTATGAACAACAGTTGTTTCGTATTTTTCTGAAGGTTGCATTCAATCATATGCTAGGCATTAGATCTACACAACTACATTTTTTTTGAAGTAGTTTGGCCCATAGGTGGTGGAGTTCTTAAGATTCAAGAGGATGTAGGAGTACAGTTCAGTACAGCTCCCCCCCCCCCCTCCCGTTATAGATGTTCTTTATGATCTGATAAGCCTAAAATATTAAACTATAAGCAAATATTGCATTAACGTAAGGTAAGGGTGTGAAATAAGTCTATAGAGTGAGGTTTTATCCGGTGCAGTGTGAGTGCGGATGTAAATGAAGTTATGATGAACACCCACACTCTTAAGTATTAATTTCCATAACGAAAGGGCTATACTAAAGATGATCTGCTTGTATCTTCGAAGTCATTGCAACTGTATAACAATTAATCTATAGCTTGATCAGAAAGTTGCATATCAGTGGATTTAGACTGCGGATATCTTTTGCGTACGCAACTTTTCAAGAACGAAGCCCACTGTTTTTTCCCAATGTTATGCAACCATACTTCCACAAGACATCGAAAATCGATTTGTATTGTTGTTGTGCCAAAATTTCAACATAACTTTGAATACTGATTTTTTGAAAACACAGTCCTTTATACTCAAAAAACTCAATGCCAATCATTCAGCAGCATCAATACCTACATTGAAATATCATGAAATTCTAACATCTCAATCCTGGGATACAAAAGACAGCCAAAATTTTAAATTTAATAATTTCAGAATGAATGCATCATGCCGACCGAAATATGGTCGATCTCACTAGACAGTTATAATGATACAGTCATAAGGATATACACATTAGTATATAGTGTGTAGGATATTGTCAATGTAGTATAGAAATAGCGTAGGTTGTGTGTAATAATTGGAGTGAATTTTACTCTATTCATAATTGATTCTTGATGGATTCTTAATCCATTAATAATCGATTACAGTCTGTTTTTTTTTCTGTTTTTTTTACATGGAGTCTATCCGAAAACATTTCTTTATCTTTGTAATGGAAAACACAAAAATAAAAGAGAGAACATTTCAAATATAGCATTTTTCATCACTTATGCGACGCACAACTAGTCTCCAATGATAACTCATCAACAAACACCCTTACACCTCTTGAAACACTATCAACTCAAACGGGCACATACACCATCCAGTTCCATTTCACCTAACTTTTTCGTCTTTGCGCCTTTTTTTGCTCTGCTGTCATTACACGCATCACCATTGACTAGAGCAGAAAACACATGAATTCGGTGACTTTTAGCTGACTTCGGGGGTTACGCTTTTCTCCTTTTCTCATTTACACTACTTATTCTTCTTCTACTTCTTCATTTAACTACGTAGTGCAATTACTTCAAATTGCATTGGACCAACGATCTGTCGTCATCGTTCATATTTTTTGATTTGCATTTTAAGGTAATACAAAAAAACACGATATCAATAAAAAAAAAAGTTCTACCCTTCACCGGCGATACATACCGCTTGTATATTAATTCTCTATCTTATTGCTGCTACTGTATGTCGATCACAGATGGGATCGGTTCGTGTTTCTTCCAAACCGAATTGAATCAAGTTCAGTGAAACTCTCAAAAACTTACTTTCAATCTGTAAAGATATTAGTTTTAAACTGACTCTACAAACAATTCTTTTATTCATATC